GATTTACTATATGACCCCCAGGTCTCTCTGTTCCTTCACCCCCTTTAAGATTGTACCATCAGCTTATATTGCCTCTCCTCATTCTTCCTCACAAAATGCATCACTTTGCATTTCCCTACATTAAACTTCATCTGCTACATGTCTGCCCGTTTCACCGGTCTGTCTATGTCCTCTTGCAGTCACCTACTGATTAGAATAGTACAGCATAGTATAGTCTGTACTAGTGTCTGTCTGTCTGTCGTCTGTCTGTCTGTCTCCCTCCTTCCCACCCTCTGTCTGTCTGTCTGTCCTGACCTGCCCCTGCCGGCTGCTCGTTGCTATCCACAATGAGCGCCCTCCCCCCTATGTGCCAACGGTAGTCCCCACAGCCTCCTACAGGCTGACAATGTCCTGCTAAACCTGCTGCCTGTTGTCCCAGCATGCGCATCTTGGCTGCTGCCCCTGACCCAAGCTGGCCTCCCCCAAAATGCCCCCTTCCCTGCAACTCTCCTTCTCTGTCCTGCTCTCTCTCCACCCTCCCCACGTTCTATCTCTGCTTGACCCCCCCCCCACCCCCACTGCCTCCCTCTGCTCCAGCCTCGGAATCCTCCGACGGGCTCATCATGGCACTCGGCACTGGTTGTCCAGCAGCAGCCACACCGACTGCCCCATTCTCCATTACTGCCACAAGCTGCCCCTGACCCCGGGGGCTAACCTCTCCTCCGTCATCTGCATCCCCACCCTCCCTCTCAACCATTCCACTACCCACTCCCATCCCACACATCCCCCTGCCAACTGTCCACTGCGTATTGGATTTCAAAATGTCAGCTCCATCTCCAACAAGACCCGATGAGAACATTGACATTATGGCCCTTACAGAAACCTGGATCACCCCAGGTGACACGTTCCCCTCACTGAGGCCACACCACCTGGCTGCACGTACCGCAATGCCCCACACCTCAACCGTCATGGCGGTGGTGTGGCCCTCATATCCAGGGCATCACTGGCCCTATCCCCCAACTCCACCGGCTCGTTCCCCTCCTTCGAACACCTTACCCTCTGCCATCCCTCCCACCTCTCTCTGAAAATTCCCTTACTTTACTGCCCCCCAAAATCCTCTCCCACCTTCATCTCTGACATCTTCAGCCTCTTTGTTTCCCTGTGCTTCTGCTCCGACCGCCTCATCATCGTAGGTGACTTCAACTTCCACTTCACCCCCTCCTGCTCCATATCCTCAGACTTCTCCTCTCTCCTCTCCTCTCGCAATGTCTCCCTCGACATCCACTCTGCTACCCACACCCACGGTCACCCGCTCGACCTGGTGATCACCTGGGGCCTCAGAGTCTCGGATGTCACCATCACTGACAAGGCCATCTCTGACACCATTTCATCTTCCTCAAATCCCATATCCCTCTCCTCACTGCCCCCAAACCTACCATCATCTTCTACTGCCCGTGGAAGATCTCCCCGCAATCCCTCTCCACTGCCCTGGAGTCCTCTGATCTCCTCCCCCTCTGGCCCACCACTCACAACAACCCACTCGCTGCACTCACTCTTCTCCACAGCACCCTCTCCACCACACTCGACGTCCTTGCCCCCCTCACCTCCCGAACTGCTTCCTATTCCTGATCCTCACCCTGGTTCACCAGCATCTCCGCTTGCTTAAGGGCCAGGTGCAGGCGGCCAAACGCACTTGGCTCAAATCTGGCCTAACGGTCCACCGCCACATCTGGCTGGACCTCATCAAGACCTCCCGCTCCGCTCTCACCTCAGCCATATCAGCCTTCTATTCCAGGTTAATCCTGGAGGTGAAAGGCAATCCCACGCTCCTGTTCTCCACCACTAACCGGCGACTCCGCCCTCCCTGCCACGCCTCACACTTTCCTCTGACTCCCACTACGAGAAAATGCTTGACTTCCTCGAGTCCAAAATCGAGGGAATCCTCTCAACTGCCACTGCCCTCCTAACTTCCAACCCCTCCCTACCCCCACCACACACAATTACCCATCCGACAATTACCCATCCCTCCTTCCACACCTTTGAACCTGTCACCCCTTCCTGTCTTCAACACAGTAACCTCCATGAAGTCCACCACCTGCTCCCTCGACCCCATCGCCACCCCTCTCCTTAAATCCCAGCTCCACCTCCTTGCCCCACCACTCGCCGACATCATTAACCTCTCCCAGTCATCTGACATTGTTCCTTCCCCCCTCAAAACAGCCACTATCACCCCCACCTTGAAAAAAACCTTCCCTCGACCCATCACAGCTCTCAGGCTACCAGCCCATCTCAAATCTCCCTTTCCTATCCAAGGTCCTTGAGAGAGCCGTTGCCTCCCAGCTTCGCTCTTTCCTCTCCTCTCACTCCCTCCATGAACCCCTCCAATCGGGTTCCGTATTGCTCACAGCACAGAAACTGCTCTGGTCAAGGTCATAAAAAATATCCTGACCATCTGTGACCAGGGCTCCCTCTGCCTCCTCGTCCTCTTCGACCTCTCCGCCGCCTTTGACACCGTGGACCACTCAATCCTCCTCCACCGCCTCTCCTCCCACCTCAACCTTCAAGGCTCTATCCTTGACTGGTTCAGATCCTACATTTCACACCGCCTCCACTTCGTCATGGTAAACGGTTTCTTCTCCAGCCCCCGCACCGTCTCGTGTGGTGTTCCTCAGGGTTCTGTCCTCGGTCCCCTCCTCTTCACCCTCTACACGCTCCCCCTTGGTGACATCATCTGCAGACATGGGGTAAATTTCCTCATGTATGCGGATGACACCCAACTCTACCTCTCTGCCTCCACCCTGATCTCCAGGACCAGACCGACCGACTGGATGAGGGCCAACTCAACGTCAGCAAGACCGAGGCCTTGCTGATTGGCTCGCACCAGCGCCTCCGCACCTTAGGTGCTGGCAGCATCAGCCTCCACGGCTGCACACTTAACCTCACTAAGCCGGTCAGGAACCTGGATATCTTGTTTGACCCTGAACTGTCCCTTCTTCCCACATCTGCACCATGACCGGCACTGCCTAACACCACCTCCGCAACATTGCCAGATTCTGCCACTGCCTCACCCCTCAGGCTGCCCAAACCCTCACCCGCGCATTCGTCACCTCAAGGCTGGATTACGGGAACTCCCTCCTCATCGGACTTCCCAACTCTTCCCTTCACAAGCTGCAGATCATCCAAAACTCTGCAGCTCGTATACTCTCACACACCAGACTCTGTGACCCCATCACTCCCACCCTCGCCCGACTCCACCGGCTCTCCATCCCCCAGAGGATCAAGTTCAAGATCCTCGTTCTCACCTTTAAGGCCATCCATGGCCTTGCCCCATCCTATCTCTCTGACCTGCTGCCTCCCTACCAACCTGCCCGCTCCCTCTGCTCATCAGGCTCCAGCCTGCTCCATGTCTCCCGCCTAACCCGCCCTACCATCAGTGGCCGGGCTTTCAGCCTCTCTGCCCCCACACTCTGGAACTCCAACCCACAGTCCCTTCGCCTCCCTTCCTCCATGGCCTCCTTCAAGGTCGGTCTCAAGACCTTTCTCTTCGACCATGCCTTTGGTCTCCCTCCCACCTCTCTGCCTTCCCTCACCCCTACACCCCACCTCCCCCCCCCCCCCCAATGCTCGGGCCTCGACACCTGATTGCTCAGCGTTTTGGAACATCCTCCCGACGTGAAAGGCGCTGTATAGATGTAATTTTGTTGTTGTTGTTGTTGTTCCCTCCAGTCAGAAAAACAACCGTTCACCACCACTCTCTGCTCTCTGTGTCCCAGCCATTTCTGTATCCGCTGCCACTGTCCCTTTAATACTGTGGGCTTCTATTTTGTTTACAAGTCTCTTATGTGGCACTTTATCAAATGCCTTTTGAAAATCCATATAAACTACATCAACTGAAATACGTTCATCCACCCTCTGCTTTACATCATCAAAATATTAGGTTTGTTAGACATGATTTGCTTTTAACTAATCTGTGGAGTCCTGTAGCTCAGTGGTTAGAGCACTCGCCTTGCAAGCGAGACACCTGGGTTCAATTGCAGTCCTACTCACTGTGTGAAGCGCTTTGAGACGTCTAGAAGACGTGAAAAAGCGCTATATTCAAAATTCAAGGATTACTATTATTATGACCCTCTCCTCTGATACTGTGACATTGGCTGCATCCTCTCCTTTTGTGAAGACAGATGCAAAGTACTCATTCAGTACGTCAGCCTCTGCCTCCACAAGAAGATTTCCTCTTTGGTCCCTAATTGGACCCACTCTACCTTTGACTAACCTTTTATTCTTTATACGCTTATAAAATAACTTAGGGCTCTCTTTTATGTTACCCACTAATCTTTTCTCATACAATCTCTTTGACCCTCATTTCCTTTTTCAGTTCTTCTCTGTACTTTCTATATTCTATTTGTATTCTTCTGTAATTTGGACCAGACATTTATCTTCCCAATTTCCTTAATCATCCAGGGAGGTTTGGATGCCCTCCTTTCCCCTTTGTGGGAATGTATTGTTGTAAAAACAATAATAATTGCATTTTATCCCATCATTGTGACACCTGAACGTGTTTCGGAATATACTGTAAAGTGAATTGTCTGAGTGTTTTGTGTGCAGGTCAGTGACACAGCGGTGCCCCACAGACCGCAATGGATTGAGTGATTACATTTTGGGGATTACCCGCTGAAAGCGATGAACCAATCGACCAAACCATTCCCTCTGATGGACATCTGTCGCTGTTTTCAAACCTGAAGTGTAAGTGACCATTTGTCCATCTCTGATTCTCAGTGTTGTTATTGCTGTCCCCGGGTCAGTACTGCGAGTTGCTGACCGGCCCCGGGGATGCTCCGCAGTACCCGGTTACTGGGGCTGTTGTGTCCGGCGGCTCTCGGAGACTTTCTGCTACTTTTGGGCCTTGTATTTGGTTGACTTTGGGCTACAAATGGACAATATCTGACAACCCGTTTGCACTAATTCAGACAACACACAGTTGGGTTACTATTGGGGCCTTTTATTCAGTTGACTGCAAACGGGCTTTATTGCCTGGCGGCCCGTGGCCGGGTGTGTGGCCCGCGGGCCGGTGTGTGGCCCGCGGGCCGGTGTGTGGCGCGGTGCCTGGCCAGGTGGCTGGCGCGGCAGAAGCGCTTTCCGCAGACGGGGCAGAGGAAGGGCCGCTCCCCGGTGTGGATGCGCTGGTGCAGCAGTAGGTTACTGGAGGTGGAGAAGCACTTGGCGCAGGAGGGACAGGGGAAGGGCCTCTCGCCGCTGTGAGTGCGCCGGTGGGCGGTGAGGCCCCGCGGGGTACCGAAGCGTTTGCCGCACAGCGGACACGGGTGCGGCCTCTCGCCCGCGTGCGCGGAGCGCCGGTGCTCGGCCAACCGCCCGGCGGTGGGGAAGCGGCCGCCGCAGGAGGCGCAGTGGTGCGCGGGCCGCTGGTCGGGCGGTGTGTGTGACAGGCGGTGCGCCGCCAGGGAGGCGGGACTGCGGAAGTGCCGCGAGCACAGGCCGCACGGGAGGGGCCTGTCCGGGGAGCGGCGCGCGCGGGGCCGCGCGGCCCGACCCGACCCCGACCCCCCGCCGCCCGCCTCCCCGTGCGACCGCTGGTGCTTCAGCAGCTCGGCCGAGGCGATGAAGCGGCGGCCGCACAGCCCACACGGGAAGGGCCGCTCCCCGGTGTGGAGGCGGCGGTGCAGGAGGAGACTACTGGAGATGTAGAAGCGGCGGCCGCACGACTCGCAGCCGAACGGCCGCTCCCCGGTGTGGTAGCGCCGGTGAACCTTCAGCGCGTCGCCGCTGGGGAAGCGCTTCCCGCAGACCTCGCACCCGAACGGCCGCTCCCCGGTGTGGGTGCGGCGGTGCAGCTCCAGTTTACAGGGCGCCGGGAAGCGCTTCCCACAGAAAGAGCAGCCGTAGCGGAGCGGCAGCCGGGGCGGGGCTGAGGGCGGGGCCCGGGCTGGGGGCGGGGCTGAGGGCGGGGCCCGGGCTGAGGGCGGGGCCCGGGCTGGGGGCGGGGCTGAGGGCGGGCCGCCGGGCTGGGGGCGGGGCTGAGGGCGGGGCCCGGGCTGAGGGCGGGGCCCGGGCTGGGGCGGGGCTGAGGGCGGGCCCGGGCTGGGGGCGGGCTGAGAGCGGGGTCCGGGCTGGGGCGGGGCTGAGGGCGGGGCCCGGCTGGGGGCGGGGCTGAGGGCGGGGCCGGGCTGGGGCGGGGTCCGGGCTGGGGCGGGGCTGAGGCGGGGCTCGGGCTGGGGGCGGGCCCGGGCTGGGGCGGGGCTCGAGCTGGGGGCGGGGCTGAGGGCGGGTCCGGGCTGGGGGCGGGGCTGAGGGGCGGGCTAGGGGCGGGGCCGGGCTGGGGGCGGGGCTGAGAGCGGGGTCCGGGCTGGGGGCGGGGCTGAGGCGGGGCCGGGCTGGGGGGGCTGGGGCGGCTGGGCGGGGCGGGCTGAGGGCGGGTCCGGGGCCGCTCCTGGTCCGTGTTTCCCGCCTCACACTCGCCTCTCGTGTTCATCGCCGGCGGCGGGTTTGTCTGAGGATCAGTCATCGACTCCTGGGGGAGAGTGAGGGGAGTGGAGGGGGGAGTGAGGGGAGCGGAGGGAGGAGGAGGAGGGGGGAGTGAGGGAGTGGAGAGGGGAGTGGAGGGAGGAGAAGGGGGAGTGAGGGGAGCGGAGGGGAGGAGTCAGGGAAGTGGAGGGAGGAGGAGGGAGGAGTGAGGGGAGTGGAGGGAGGAGGAGGGAGGGAGGAGTGAGGGGAGTGGACGAGGAGGAGGGGGAGTGAGGGGAGTGGAGGAGGAGGAGGGGTGGAGTGAGGGGAGGGGGAGTGGAGGGAGGAGGAGGGGGGGTGAGGAGGGGGAGTGAGGGGAGTGGAGGGAGGAGTGAGGGGAGTGGAGGGAGGAGTGAGGGGAGCGGAGGGAGGAGGAGGGGGGAGTGGAGGGAGGAGGGAGGGAAGGGAGGGGAGTGGAGGGAGGAGGATGGGGGAGTGAGGGGAGTGGAAGGAGGAGGGGGGAGTGAGGGGAGCGGAGGGAGGAGGAGGGGGGAGTGAGGGGAGCGGAGGGAGGAGGAGGGGAGAAGGGAGGGGGGAGGAGGAGGGGGGTGAGTGGAGGAGGGGGGGGGGGAGTGAGGGGATTGGCGGGAGGAGTGAGGGGAGTGGAGGGAGAGGAGGGGTGGAGTGAGGGGGAGGAGGGGAGGAGTGAGGGGAGTGGAGGGAGGAGGAGGGGTGGAGTGGGAGAAGGGAGGGGGAGGAGGGGAGTGGAGGGAGGAGAGGGGGGAGTGGAGGGAGCGGAGGGTGGGAGTGATGGGAGCGGAGGGAGGAGGGGAGTGAGGGGAGGGGGGAGTGAGGGGAGTGAGGGGAGTGGAGGAAGGAGGAGGGGGGAGTGAGGAGTGGAGGGAGGAGGAGGGGGGGAAGTGGAGGGAGGGGGAGTGGAGGGAGCGGAGTGATGGGAGCGGAGGGAGGAGGGGGGAGTGGTGAGGAGGAGGGCGGAGTGGAGGGAGGGGGTGGAGTGAGAGGAGTGGAGGGAGGGAGGGGGGAGTATGAGGGAGGGAGGGGGAGTGAGGAGTGGAGCGAGGAGTGAGGAGTGGGAGAGGAGGAGGGGGGTGGAGGGAGGCAGGCTGTGTGTCAAGGACACCACTTGCCCTATCCCCCTACTCCTCTGGCTCTTTCCCCTCCTTTGAGCACCTCACCCTCTCCCACCCCTCATTCCTCTCCCTTAAAATCCTCCTCCTCTACCGGCCCCCTAAAACCTCTCCCACCTTCATCTCTGACATTTCAACACTCCTCACATCTCTTTGCCTCTGCTCGATCGCCTCATCATCCTGGGCGACTTTAACCTACACTTCACCCCCTCCTGCTCCATCTCCACAGACTTCTCTTCCCTGCTCTCCTCACTCAACCTCTCCTTACACATAAACTCCCCCACTCACAGTCACGGCCACCCACTCGATTTGGTGATCACCCGGGGCCTCAGTGTCTCGGATGTCACTATTACCGACAAGGCCATCTCTGACCACTACTTCATCTCCTTCACCACCTCCACCCCCCCCCACCTCCACCAGACCCACCACCATCTTCTACCGCCCTTGGAAGAAGTTACCCCCACAATCCCTAACCGATGCCTTGGAGTCCTCTGAACTCCTCTCCCTCTGGCCTTCAACCCTCACCGACCCCTCTTCTCCTCTCTCCCTCCTCCACAATACCCTCTCCTCCACACTCGATACTCTTGCCCCCATCACTTCCCGCACTGTCTCCTACTCCCGCTCCTCCCCCTGGTACACCACCCACCTCCGCTCACTGAAAGCCAGGTGCGGGCTGCTGAACGCACCTGTGTCAAATCTGGCCTAACGGTCCACCGACAAATCTGGCTGGACCTCCTCAAAATTTACCGCTCCACTCTAGCCTCGGCCAAGTCGTCCTTCTACTCCAGGATAATCCTGGAGGCGAAGAACAACCCCAGGCTACTGTTTTCCACCACAACCCGACTCCTCCGTCCCCCCCGCCACCCCGCGCAGGTCATCTCCTCCAACCTTCACTGCGAGGAGATGCTGGATTTCCTTGAATCCAAGATCAAGGGAATCCGCTCCGCGGTCACTTCCCCTCCAACTTCCACCCACCACCCACCCCTTCCCTCCCACACTCCGACTCCTACCCATCCTCCCCTACACACCTTCGTACCCGTTTCCCCACCCTCTGTCACTGAACTCATCCTATCCCTAAAACCAACCACCTGCTCCCTTGACCCCATCCCCACTCCACTCCTTATCTCCCAGCTCCACTTTCTTGCCCCACATATCACTGACATCATCAACCTGTCCCTCTCCTCTGGCTCTGTCCCCATTCCATTAAAAACTGCCATCATCACGCCCACCCTGAAAAAACCCTCCCTTGATGCGTCGCAGCTATCAAGCTACCGGCCCATCTCCAACCTCCCCTTTCTCTCCAAGGTCTTGGAAAGAGTTGTCGCCTCCCAACTGCGCTCTTTCCTTTCCACCCATTCTCTTTTTGAACCCCTTCAGTCAGGTTTCCGTGCTGCCATAGCACAGAAACTGCCCTGGTCAAGGTCACCAATGATATCCTGACCATCTGTGACCAGGGCTCCCTCTGTCTCCTCGTCCTCCTCGACCTATCGGCAGCATTCGATACGGTCGACCACGCTATCCTACTCCACCGCTTGTCCTCCCACCTCAACCTTCAAGGCACTGTCCTTGAATGGTTTAGGTCGTACCTTTCTCACCGTCTTCACTTGTCTCAACGAATGGCTTCTCCTCCACCCCCCGTACTGTCTCATGTGGTGTCCCTCAGGGCTCTGTCCTCGGTCCCCTCCTCTTCACCCTCTATATGCTCCCCCTTGGTGACATCATCCGCAACATGGGTTAACTTCCACATGTATGCGGATGACACCCAACTCTACCTTTCCTCCTCTACTCTCAACTCCACGACCACCGATGTCCTGACAGCCTGCCTGTCCGACATCGAGTCCTGGACGAGAGACAACTTTCTTCAGCTCAACGTGCGAAAAACCGAGGCCCTCCTGATTGGCTCACGTCAGCGCCTCCGCACCTCAGGCGCTGACACCATCAGCATCCAAGGCTGCACTCTCCACCTCTCAAAGCCAGTCAGGAACCTCGGCGTTTTGTTCGACCCTGAGCTGTCCTTTCTCCCTCACATCCGCACCACAACTGGCACCGCCTTCCATCACCTCCGGAACATCGCCAGACTACGGCACTACCTCACCCCTCACGCTGCTGAAACCCTGGTTCACGCCTTTGTCACCTCAAGGCTGGACTATGGGAACTCTCTCCTCGCCGGCCTTCCCGCCACCTCCCTCCACAAGCTGCAGGTCATTCAGAACTCTGCAGCTCGTGTACTGTCCCGCACCAGGCTTCGGGACCACATCACTCCCACCCTCGCTCGCCTCCACTGGCTCCCCATCCCCCAGAGGATTGATTTCAAGATCCTCATCCTCACCTACAAGGCCATTCACGGCCTTGCTCCCTCCTACCTCTCCAACCTACTATCCCCCTACCTACCTGCCCGTACCCTCCGTTCCTCTGGCTCCGGTCTGCTCCACGTCCCCCGCCCCAACCGCCCTACATCGGTGGTCGGGCCTTCAGCCTCTCAGCCCCGAGGCTCTGGAACTCCATCCCCCAGTGCCTTCGCCGCTTCCTCCCTTTCCTCCTTCAAGGCCGGTCTCAAAACCTTTCTCTTTGACCGTGCCTTCAGCTCCCCTCTCGACTCTCTTCCCTCCTCGCTCCTCCCTTCCCTCCCTCACCCTGACCATTTCCCCTCCTCGCTCCCTCCCTTCCCTCCCCTCCATTTCCCCCCTCCTGCCTCCTTCCCTCCCCTCCTCCCTCCTCCTCCTCCCTTCCCCTCACCCTGACCATTTCCCCCTGCTCGGGTCATGACCCAACTGTGCAGCGCCTTGGGACGTCCTCCTGACGTGAAAGGCGCTTTATAAATGGAATCTTGTTGTTGTTGTTGTTGTTGTTGTTGTGTGTGGGGGGGTGTGTGTGGGTGTGTGTGAGAGACAGGCTGTTGTGT